ATGGAATTTAAAACAAAAAACTCTATGATAGAGTTAAAACCACAATCGGTACTTTCAAATTCAGAGCTAGCTGCACATTACACAAATAAATTTTTGCATTTTGTGCGTTTGGAGAAATAAAAGTGGAGGAAATTCCTCATAATGACAGCTTTTGGGAAGAAAAGGTGCAAAATAAAATTCAAAATTATTATATGCAATATGCCTTATCAGAACTAGTTGACAGCAGAGCTAATAGAGACAAGGAAGTACGGGACAGAATGCCAAATAAATGGTGAGTTAAACAGTACGGGTTTTTTATGAATGTGTTCTAGAAGCTGTACCTCATTATAACAGATTATTCAAACATTAAAAATAATTTTTGTTAAAATATAAATAATAATATTATGCTGAAACATTATATCTGATCGCTACATATTATAAAACCAAAGATACCTTTTCATTTAACCAACTCACACATGGCTACTCCAAGTTTAAATATTATAAATCCGCTTGAATATAAAAAATAACAGGTATAGAAAATATTTTTCAAAAACCTACTTTATTTAAAAATATAAAATGTCATGAGACCGTTTATTGTTTGTTTACATTAGCCTCCAGTTTTTGTTACTTTGACTTTTTGTATCGAGGACATATTATAATGTGATATAGAAGGGAATGTATTGCTAAACTATGGACGCTTTTCTACTCTTAATCAATTATTATTAGTAGAGTGAGTGTATGTATTAAAATATTCGCTCTAGAAAACGATTTACCCCTCTTTGTGACAAGCTGAATTTTTCAGAGATAAAAGGTCATGATAAGGTAACCCTTATTCCGGAGGTAACACAAAATTAGACTGTGCAGAAGGGCACTATTATCAAAAATCCAGATACTGATACCGCCGAATAAAAAAAAATATTTATTTTTTGGTTCAATGCACAATAAAATCTTTGTAAGGAGTAATTTTTTTTACTTATTTAAAAAAAATTTCAGCCCTTCAAAAATTTGTTTAAAAAGTCATTTTTTTAAATATAATTTTATCATTTAACAAAAAGGAAGGCCATAATGAAAAACGTAGTATATCTCTGTTTCTCTCTACGTGTCGGCTGATGGATCACATTATTGATATGCTCAAAGTTTTTTTCATTTTTTTATTATAAAACTTTTCGTTAGGTGCCAATGGACAAAGTGTCATATTGTCTGTTCTTACTAAAAAAATAATAAGTGTGTTACATATTAAAGTTCCTAATAAATTGGGAAGAAATATAGACATTTTTTAGGTTTTTATTACATCTACATTCATCCTGTTATAGCTGAATGCCTGAATATATTTGGGTAAGTTGGGTAAGTTTTCGTTAAATATTTTAATTACGGATTTGTTGTTGCAAGAAGCAAAGACACAATTGATATCAAAATGTGACTTCTTAATCCTTGCATGATCAACAGTTTCTTC